TTTATTGACTTGTTTTATTACATATAGGAATGTAGGTCAAGTACGTGCAAATTGAATTATACACGTGTTATAGATTATTGACCAAAGAACATTCCTTTATGGTATTTTACCAGGTTTTTATCGTTCTGTAGAACATATTCCTGATGATATCTGAATTTTGTCCATCGGCAAATACCAGTCTTTGTCTAAATTCAAGCCAAATTCCGTTTGTGTTTAGCCAAGCCTTCCCCATTAGTGAAAGAAATTTTGTAGAAGCTTTTTGTCATTAAAAATAATGTTTTCTTCAATTAACCATCAAGACATCTTCCGGTTTCATTTGGGGTGGGTTTATAGAAAAGTATGACATTTGACTTAATGCGGACATTCAATTCTGATGTTAGTGGATTTGTCAGTCAAAATGAAGAGATAACTGAGCTCTCTTGAATGGAGGTCCAAAACATAAATATAATCTTTCAATGGTATATTAGAATTCTAGAAGTATCTATCCATAATAATTGTCTTATTTATTAAAAATAGAACGATTCCTTTGGATCACAAAGTGGTTACATATCGGACGCTAGTTAGTTTAGTTTTGGTTCTAAAGTTGATATTTGTTTAAGGTGTTATAGGAGACGCTTTACCATAGAAGCACTGGCCAAGATGTAAGATTTGATACCCAAGAGTTGTTGACTTCTTCAAAGTTATGATGGATCACCAGGTGCCATTTCAGCTAGCTAGACGTCACCTTCGATGAATCTGCTACTTTTGTTTTATCTCTTTCATCTATTCAACCACTACTAGGCCCCACTTCGATATATACATGGCGTTTGATCATTAATTGCATTTGAATCTGACTACATGTTTACAAATGATAAGTTCAGCTTTAGAATAGAATTGAACCAATAAGTCAAGACTCGGGAGAACACAGTTGTTTGATATGCATATAACAAGTTACTCAATAATAAAACCCAGATTCTTCTTTGTTTGTTTTACTTTGTTTTTTTATTGTGCCAATTCTTCACATCTGCCTCGGATCAGGTCAATATTGAGATATCATGAAAACCTGTCTTAAAGCCACTCGATATTGGAATTTTGTCTGACACTAATTGGTAAAAGTACATCCTAACCATACGAAAATTGACATATACCAAACATCCCCTGCCTCTCCTGCAAAACAATTCTGCTGTCTCATTTTTGAGATGACTCAGTGTGCGATGAGATATATATCAAGGCCTCGTCGCAAATGTGATAACAGATCTTTAATGTGCTGGCAGCATATGGGGCGGCTAGAAGATCGCAATTAATGTTCGCAGTCACATTTACGTGTAATGTTTCATAATTCTATATGTGTATATGCGACTAGAATTTTGTCATTAATGTAAGCATTCTTTCACATTTGATGTCATTTTGATATTTCTATAGAAATATATTGTGACTGTATTCGCCTTGGTGCGAGTTATTCAAATCAATGGCTGTCTATCTTATATAGAGTGAGTTTAAGGTGAAACTAACGGAATCCCAGGTGAGAGTCAGGTATAACTCTAGGTGTAATATATTGACCTTTTATCGTCAGAGGTTATATCATTCTACACTCTGTATTTAATATTAGTTGATAAAGCTGACCAGTGATATATCTAGACCTTCCTGGTCGCTTTCTTCAGTTTTTGGCCATAATAAACGATGAATATCAACTTTTGCTGCAATATTTTGGACAATATGTGATATATTAGACGCTATTTTCTTCAGTTTTTGGCCATAACGGATATTGAAAATCGTTTGATCTCCAACAGTTTTTACTATGGTCACAGTTTTGAAATTCATGATTATTAAGACTTTTTAAGTGGATTCTACTTTCTTCAGTTTTTAGCCATAACCAACTTCAAATTGTATGATCTTCAGCAGTTTTGTGATAGTTGATTTGGATATCTGACTTTAGTTCTAATTATGGCTATAACTAATGTTATGAAATTTGTGATTATATATTGGAGACTAGTTTGTTCAGTTTTGGTGTAAGATTTGAACGACATATAGAAGCGAGAAGCACATATAACAAAACAAAAACTGTGGTTAGCTTTGGTTCTAACTAAAGTTGATATTTATATTAGGTGTTATAGGAGACACTTTACCGTAGAAGCACTGGCCAAGTGATTTTGGTAATAATAGTTTCAGATGTAAGATTTGATAACCAACAGTTTTTGGCTTCACAAAAGTTATCATGTGTGATATCGGGTACTAGTTTGTTCAAATTCAAAATTTGTGAACCTTTCTTGAGCTGTAACAACCATCTAGTATTAGATATTGTTGATGTATGCTCAGATCAGTACAGTACACCAATTCATTGACCCTCTTGCTCACCAAGTTTTGGATATAACCCTTTTTGCGATTATTGGTTGATGCGACTTTCTGGCTTTTCTTCTATATTCTTCATTTTTTTGTCCACAATTGGACTGGATTGAGATTTTTACAGGTTTCTTTGTGAATTAAACCTCAGCGATATTCTTGAGTGCATATTATGGACATATACCCAACGTACGTTGAACTACCTTGGCGAGAAATTTAGAAAAGTCGGTGAAACGAACTCAACCATCAGGTGTATTTGAGATGATATTTGAGATAACTGCACCAAATTTTTTACTTACTGAGTGATAGATTGCTTCGAATTCTCATTTACAACTTCAACATAAACAGATTCTTGACGTTTGATGTTTTCGTTTAGGTTTAATTCTGTCTACACGACAAGAGTGTTCTTGGGATTTTGTTTTTATGAAATCCTTCTTAATGATGTTACATTCGTGAACTGGGTCTAACTATTTAAGTAACCGTATTTTGAAATCACTCTAATTATGATCGTGAGGATGCTATAGCGATTGACTTAAGTTTGTTTTTGTGTATTAATAAAATGTTTCTCAGAGATCTGAGAGTGGAAAGTCTATCTTTGTCTCAAGTAAATCTCAAAGATGACTCGTTGTATTGATACAATTGAACATTCAGTCACCACGAGACGATCTGAAACCACTTAGCTAATCTTAAGACGGATTTGAATAGTCAGAATTACAATTGTTATGCGGATAACAATGAGGCCAGTGCTTTTATAGATTTCTATAATATCTTTGAGATATTTTTACTTCGACCCAATCTCATATTATCCTGTCAAAATGGAGGTGGTAGGAGGAACGTCAATGTTCATCCAGGCCGCTGTCAAAATGATGATGAAAAAGGGAAATCGGTAAGTTTATGGTAGGGAATCTCCACAACAGTCAAGGTATTACGAACAGATGAAGTTCACCTTGACCATTGTGAAGATGATGATAAGGAAGAGGTTAGCCCTGTGTTCAGGTGTAAATTTCAACCCTAGTTTCACATTTGTCGTTTGGTACAATCCTACAACCAAAATGGCCCTGATGATAACAGAGCGTAAACTTGAAACCAATATCTCACTGTGAACTCCTGCTTATTTTATCACAATCCGATATAGAACAATAGTTCATTATGTGTACAAAACAAGATACCTTTCACAACCAATATGTATCAAACTAAACAGCAATACTAAACCACACCATATTCTTTGATATTCTACTTAGATTTCGGGGAAGGGAGGGTTTGATTCTCCCAAATGTACAGGCCTAGGGTGGAGCAGACACTTTATTTAGAAATCAGGATTAAGGGTCTTGATATTGGGTTTTCTTCTGTTCTTATTCTGATCTGAAATTAGAAAAAATAACTCGCCCAATGGGCGAGAAGTATAGTATCTGTTATGTACTGATTGTTTTTAGTTTACTATGAACAATATTATCATTTAAGTTCTTATTTTTTGAATATGCAACTATCATTTTCTGCTTATAGACATGGGGGAATTTCTCTTGAAGGCTCTTATAGTGGGCATGAACTATCTTGCTTGCTCGATTGCTGGTTGTATTAAACGGGACAACAAAGGGTGCTATGCCTACATTATGATGAATATTTAGTCCTATAGGTCTTGCTGTATTCAATGTCTCAATCCAATGGGCCTCCCTAGATTGACGGAATTTGGTAGTTTCATCTTCGGGCAAGTCAATTTCTATACGCTCAATTGGGATTAGGGTGAGATCGTCTATTGAATGGTCGTCGAGGTTGAAATGATTAGAAACAGGCTTGTCTTTCTTTAATTTGATGTCTGACCTATGAGCATTAAAGCGAGTTCGTAAATTATTCAAAACCTGTATTATTTGTAGTCAAAGGAAACCTCCATAACAGCCCACTAAGACATCCATGCCTTTATATAGTGAACTATTTGACAGATTAAGTACTTATGTCTTTTATCTAAGTTTGATAATGATAACGTGTATGTCATTGTAATTATTGATTATATTTAAAGATAGGAAACATTGTAGGACAATGTATCACATTCTTTGAAACTTAGAAGTATGTAATACACTAGATGATACTATTGTCTGCATTGTTAATAAATTCGCTATTAAAAACAGATTTCACCAGACTTGGTTAGACATAATTAGACGAGTTTTCCACACACAAATGATATGAATAATCTACGATATGATTACATACGCTCATTTCCTACATCCATTAAAATACTATTATTATTTTACTTCATCTCCACAAGTATCAAAAATATTCATTTACATCATTACTAGTTAAAAACATAATAGACATGGTCTACAATCGGCTTAAATACAAAACAATACTTTAGATCTACCTAGGGCTACATCTACGTTATCGATTCTTAATGCATGCGCCATGAAAACTATAAAACACATTTAAATAATTATTTATTTATTACGTGTAATCATTCGTTGCTTCGCATCTACAAGATTCAAAATGCACTTGCGGTGAAATAATTTTTACTTAACTAATTTAGGTCAAAGCATGTGCAAAAATAAGAACTTGGCTAATATTTATTTATTTATTTTAGTCATTTTTCATTGATTTATTTATTATATTTATATTTTCTCTCATGCAAAATATAACAATTAGTGGCGATGTACTACCATAATGTAATAATAATGATGTTTTCTCGTTGCAGGATGGACAGTATAATTGGGTCAGTTGGACGAGTAGCCAATGTGAAGGTCAGAAATGATGACGATCTGGTAGACAGGTTGAATCATCTATATACGACTGGTATTCTGATCATCTTTACAGTCGTGGTCAGCGCCAGACAGTACGTCGGAGATCCAATCCGATGCTGGTGTCCGGCACAGTTCACTCAAGCACATGTAGACTATACTAATAATATATGTTGGATTGCCAATACCTATTACATACCGTTTTCTAATCTGATACCCGTAGAACATCATATACGTAAAGAGCGGGAATTAAATTATTATCAATGGGTACCGGTGGTGTTGCTGATCCAAGCCTTAATGTTTTATCTTCCATGTATAATTTGGAGACTCTTAAACGGACAGTCTGGTATAAACGTTGATCGGATTGTCAGCCTTGCTTCCGATGCTCAGTACGAATCGCCGGAAGTGAGAATGAGGACCATTAAATATGTCGTCCGCCATATTGATCGTTGCCTTGACAATCAACGTGAAAGCAGACATACTTGCTGTGTAAAATTACGTCATATCCTGTCTGCAAAGTTATCGTTGCTATGTGGTAAACGTTATGGAAATTATCTGGTTGCTGTGTATTTATTAATGAAAGTTTTATACATATCCAACGCAGTGGGACAATTATTCATGTTAAATGCCTTTTTAGGAACGGAGTATAATATTTATGGCTTCCAAGTGGTAGAGGAATTAATAGACGGTTTAGATTGGACTGCATCACATCGTTTTCCTCGTGTAACGTTATGTGATTTTGATATACGACAGTTAACTAATATACAACGCCATACCGTTCAGTGTGTTCTACCAATTAACCTTTTTAACGAAAAAATTTACATTTTTATGTGGTTTTGGTTTGTTTTTGCTGCCTGCATGACCAGCTACTCCTTTGTTGTTTGGTTGTGGCACATGGTATTCCCTACATCACGGATGCAATATGTGAAAAAATTCCTAAAAATAATGGATAGACTGGGATCTGGACCGGATAAAAAGTTAGCCAGTCGTTTTGCTTTGGAATATTTACGCCATGACGGAGTCTTTACGTTGCGACTAATCGGTAAAAATTCCAGTGATATAGTCGTAGCGGAAATTGTGTCGGGATTGTGGGATATTTATCGCGGGAAAAAATCCATCCAGATTCGGAATACGTCTATAAATAATGGTCACGAGGAGGTGGAAGATGTCTAGTTTGAAAAATTCGTCCATTTTGAAGGATCTAGCTTCTAAATCTTACCGCCGAAATCGCCATTAGGCCTATAGTTCGAGAGCTGACCTGTATTGGTCGTAATAAGGATGTGATTCCACAGGTGGAGTTTTAAGTCAGGAATAAGTACGTGTTCACAAGTAGTAATGATTGTGAAGAATTGAAACCGCAGTGTCTGTGGAAATATTAAACATTGGTTGACGGAGCTCTCCGATCTCTGCCGAATCATTCCGATGAAACGTTCCCATCCCGAGAATAATATGATGAGCAATGAGAAAAATAAAACATTGTAGCGATGGTGTCGTGACGTTTACGTTATGCTGACGACATCTAATGCTGATGACGTAACTGCTGTGTTAGTGTGACGTATTAAACGTCATAGTGACGTATATTATGCTATTGTGACGAAAAAAATGATGCGTTTAGAAGCATTCTGTCTTTAACGTGCAAAGAAAACGTATCTATTGATTAAGTTATAAATGCTAAATCTAAAATTGCATGGTCAATATATTAAAATAAAAAACTCGAAAGTAGAAATATAACGTTTGTTTGCTTTACTTTATTTCATTATAAAATCAGCTTGCTTTATTTTTCATGTAATAATTAACAGTTTGCTGAACACTTTAATATTCTAATAGGTGAAATCGTTAAATACGGCCATATTGATTGGGGCTTTATTAATTATTATACAAGATTTACCATAATAATATAGATTCTAGACCTTTAGAAATTTACTGTTATTTAAACACTTATCTTGTTCAGAAATAAAATTTAAGTTTTGTGCTGCCAATTTTTCCTTTTCTTCGGTTCTGAGAAACATCAAAAAACGTCTTAACCGTCTCATGTCTTCCAATGTCATACCAATTCATTAATATTTGATTTAGAGATAGTAATTCATAATGTAACTTCACTTCAAGTTTATGATTTCTTACTTTTGGACTCAGATTATCTCTCTTACATGACATTTTCAGAGATCACTTGACTTGAAAGAATTGTGTCTTGAACGACTTCATATTTCATTTCCCAACCTGTCATAATTGTGACTATTCAGATCTTCAAATCATACCAATAGGAGATTTGCTATATATTGATATAGGTCATTCTATATGCACGCGCATACTATCTCCATCTGCACCTATTTGACTCCCAGTGTTACAAAGTGCTAATTTATAGATAAAATGTCTTTAGGTTCCTATTAACCAAGCTAACTTGTATTTGGTTCGAACAATATACGTATCTCACGTTTAAGACAAGCATTATTAATTTTAGTTTATTTATATTGAAGTATTTGGTGCAGTTCGCGAAAGGCATGTTCCCTCATTTTCAATAATTAATATGTTTTATTTGATATATCATATTGTGAAGGGCAATCCCTTTAAGGGGCATTCCGCTTTTTTGTAAAACATTTTCATAATCAAAAACCTCATAAATTATACCTGAAAATATTTTTAAAGTATGCTATTTATATCTATATATCTACTTGATCAAACTGAATTTGTTTTAAAAGGGTTAATTCAAAACCTGAGAGTACTAATTGTTGATGAAGCAGTTTGACCTAGTTTCGGTGAATGGCTTTATAATGGATCGATATTATTAATTGAAATATTTTAGGCGTAACCTTTTACGTAAAGTTTTGGCGTTAAAAAATTAAAGGCTGAATGTTTTAGTTAAAACTTTCAGATACGTTATGGCATACATTTCTATAGATTTTAATTTACAAATTTGAGCAAATAATTTTTCGACCTACAAAAAAAGCGGAGTGTCCCTGTAACCAACACATAACAGAATCTAACAAGTGCAATAAACTGATCATTTTAATTTATTTTAATTTATTTATTCAAATATTTATAAATTTTTGATTTAATCAAATTGGTGCAATATTGATCTGATCTTATATTTAAATTTTTGAACTCAAATATACAAATCTAGTCATATCTTTTGAATAAAAGACTATTTAAATATTATTTACAAACATTTTCCTAGATTTTAGTCATTTTTTTAAAATATATTAAATGTGATTTCGAAGATTTACTTTAAAAACTGGAGATTATTGTGTTAAATTGTATGCATTTTATTTTTATTTAAGTGATTTATTTATTCATTCACAGTGCAATATTATTGATCATTTTAACATTAATATATTTCTCTTTATTATCCTTCTAATAATTTGGTGCAATATTAATTTTTTTAAACCATGTGTGTTTCCAGGTACGTTTAATTTCTGAGAAAAATAATTTTCTATACTGAAACGTAAACACGACACGACACGACAAAATGAGTGGTCAATAAAAACCTGTTTTGAATGCAGTTTTTCTTATCCAATCAAATTACTGCACTTTGTTTAAATTTAGAATTTTAGTTTGGTTTTTGTTTACCCATGTGCTTTGAATATCTGACTATGTAAATCAGCTTTGATTAAGGTCTACTCTGACTAATGTTTGGTATAGAATTTCGAATCATTTACCACTGCAAACATCTAGGTATATATGAACATAGCATGTCTGCCATGGTTATCTGTTGATAACTCGATGAAATAAGTGAAATTTATTTTTGAAATTGTTTCCCATGATGAATTATCACCTTTTCAGTAATATAGAAATTATGATTAGAAATGTGAGAAGACAACCTGCTATTTTTAAATTATTCGAGTTATTTAAGTAACTAGTCGTAGATTGATATGTTACTATATTCAGACTGACTGATTACAAAAGCTACTGAAACCACGCATGGTTCTGACATGGAAATAACACACACGAACGTCATACGAAACTACGCATGGTTCTGACATCGAAATAACACACACGAACGTAGTTCACAACTATTTTGAATCTCCACCTCGACTTGATTTACTCGAATTTTTAAAAAGGCTGATTAAATGCCTTTAATGTAATTTTGAGGCTCGTATGCAATATTATAGTTTTAAGAATTAGACTGAGAGAGATTCAAAATGGCTGTAAATTACGTTCGTGCGTGTTATTTCCATGTAAGAATCAACCATACGTAGTTTCGTATGAAAATAAAGCATGCTATATGATGGTAAACTTACTGCTACCTGGAAACGGTCTGGCATCAGGCCAACCACCATACAATGCTCTCAATATAACCATTCTTTTGTCTAACTGGTAGGTGCCAAGTTTAGATTTCTAAACAGTTGTTCAAATTGGCATCAATCCACGCCCTGATATCATTCGTTAAACATATTTAAAGTAAGAGTTTGGGTTTTTTAATTTTTATTTTTCGTTTAACATATTTTAAGTAATAGTTAGGGTTTTTTAATTTTGATTTTTACTTATTTTGGATTCGGATTGTAATTGATGATGTAATGAATTTTGTTTCTATAAAAAAAAAGGAATGATTATAAATTAATTCGTGAAGAAATAAAGAATGTTTTACATTTTTTTATTTGAAGGTTTTTGAAGAAGATATCTTCGTTTCAAAAACATTTTAAATTTAAATTTTCATTTATAAAATAGCTTACTAATAAAATTTATAGAATTGTTTTTAAAAGAAACGATAAAAGTTTAAATCAAGGTGCAATTTCTATAACTTTATCTTTACGAATGGCTTATTTGCATGTTTAGTCTATAACCTGTGTATTAAGATTCGAATATTATGTATACATATAGGTTTCCTTTATTTGGTATGAACAAAGAAGCAAAATGCAGACGAAAGTTATCTCCCTTTACTGTTTGTGCCAGTGCCTTGAAATCTAAATTCTCCCAACAACGACCTATGCATGCCATTCTGCAATTACTAGGATAGCTTTTGTTGGAAGAGACTATCTGTAAGCAGACTTGTCTTTCCATTGTGAATTTAAGTACTTGATGATCACGGCTTACGGTGTATGGCCTCACGCCTGGTTAATCATGCCTTGATTAAGGAAAGACAACTCTGTAGGATTTTATGATCCGTTCTTCTTTTTCAAGGTTGCTTATCTTATTCTGCTGTTTTATGTGTTGTCTTGCATATTATTCTATGCAAAATGTTGGGAATTCTAGATTTAAACTTTAATAATTTTCTGTCATTTTGGTATAATCCGCCTACATGCCTCTTTTAACTTGTGTCGTGTGTGAAGGATTAAACGAGTAACAGTTCTTTTAGCTTGTTCAGCGAGAGAAGGACTATCGGAGTAACAGCTCTTTCGTTTATGCATGCAGTACGAGCTATCATTTCTCAAGACGCATATTTGTGATGATTGTGAATAGTAGCTCGTGAAAGAGCTCATTTCTGAGTAGTCAAAACACAAGTTATTAGAGGCATTATGGGCGATATTGCCGTTTTGTAGAAATGGAGGCCTCAAAAGGCCTGAGTTGTATTATTTCATTGTTTGACTGTGATACGTGAAATCATCAATATCCGAAAAGTTTATTTTGTGTTTTTAATTAATTGTTTGTTTATTTATTTTGTCTCATATATTAATAGGAATAACTCTTTGTAATCATTTTTATTTGAAATTTAAGAATCTTGAAATTGACGAATTTTGAAATTTAAGAATTTCAAATTTTCTAGGAGTTATTAATTGATAAGAAAAAAGTGCAATATATATTTATCTATTTATTTTTGTTTATTTTTGTTTTATTTATTATCCAATCAGAGTAGATTACGATTATTAATGTAAATTTCATTTTTTTCTGATTGTTTCAAACTCTTTCAGTGATAAACAAGGCAAATTCGAGATTGAGACTAGTGGGTGTTTAACAGGTCGCAATGCCTTTTAAGTCAGTGTTAAACACGACGAAAGACCTTATACTCTAGGATTAAAAATCTTTCAGTGTTGACGATAACCCAGGTTATATATTTTTCTGTGTTTAACAGGACATCAAATCTTATACCAGAATTTATTTTATCTCATTGTCAAATAGCACAGAAGACCAAAATCGAGAGTCGGGCTAGCAGTGTTAAACAGTCTCTTAACTAAATGAAAAAAACTCACTTTAATTCGATGTTTCTTGACCTAGCGAAATCACAATATAAAACAAAAGCT